ATGATGGGGTGGGTGCATATAAGGCATGCTAGTGCTATCAAAAATTAGGCTTCATTGTACTTTTCTCAGCAAGATGAGAAATATCCTAAGGCTTTTAAGTGGGGAATTCATGCTGAGATGACCAAGGATGATAACTCTCGATGAACGTTTGATCGGAAGATGTACGTTGTTTGATGATGATTACCTTGGGGGCATATAAGTGACTCGATACACGAATGATCCGACCGAATGGCTGTAAGTCATGAAAGCCCTTGGATCATAGTTAATAAACTTAGCAATGAACGAAATACGTAAAATAGGATGCAAAATAATTTGTGAATAAGTTAAAAAACAATGTACGGCAAATCCGGGTGTGTCCGTGTCGGGAGGGAATGAAGTAGTGACAAGCGGTCCGGTCATGTCAAGTTCCATTCTCAAGGCATCTGCAAACCCTCTTATTGCGTATTTAGTGGCAGAATACGCAGTTAAACCTGCTATAGCGACCTGGCCGCCCATACTTGAGATGAAGGCTATCCTGCGTTCACGAGCTGGGTGGCTTAAACGGTTTTGCTGGGGCGAAAACATGGACAGCATAGATGGGAGCAATATATGCGTCAAATGGACTGGGCCCAGATAATTTGTGTGATTCATTGAAGCAATCTCATCTATAGGCATTTCCCTAAATTCGCGAGAAAAGCAGAAGCCTGCAGAATGGATAAGTACATCAACGGGACCTAGGTATTATAAAATCAATGAAAAATTACCCAGGGCTTTGAGCAATTCATCACATTTTTCTCTAAGACTAGCATATGAGCTAGTAAGATCCATAGATCTAACTTCAACCCAGGCATCAGATCGAGTGGTCGAAGTCGATGCAAGTGTTTCCCTAGCGAGTTTTAGTCTTTCTCTGTTTCTTGCGATAAGTGTTATATTAGCTCCCGATCGGCGAGCCAAAATAGCCAGAGATAGGCCAATCCCACTGGAGCCACCTGTAATGAGAACGTGTTTGCCGTCGAAAAATGAATTTCCGCTGTTACATCTTATGTAACGATATAGGAGGTAAGTAGTGAGGCTACACAAAAGCAGAGCTACTAGATAAACTCCCATCTGAAAGATAATATTCGATTCAAGTCCGATAGACAATCAATTGAGAAGAGAAAAATATTTGAGTATAAAATTTATTATAAGTAGATATTCGTAACATAATTATCTGATAAGTTGAATGGGGTTGGGAAGGAGATATCGGTAACCAGAGGAAGATTGGAAAGGGCTGAGGGATTGTTTAACTTAGCTTCAAACAATGTTATTTCGCGAATATTGGGAGAGACAGATTCATATGAAATAAAAGACAAATCTTTAGAGACAGACGACTCGGCCAGTTGTTTGCATAAGCAGAGATATTCTCGCTTCAAAAAACAAACCCTATAGTTAAGTTCAGAGATTTTGGAATCGTCGTATGAAACACACTTCATCTGCCCGACGCATGAACTGATCTCCTTAATAATTTGTGACAAATAAGAATATATCTCTGGGGCATTGTAGATTTTACTGGAAGGGGGGCGCTTATTTGTCCCTGCATAAAGGGAAGACGACTGTCGATGTAAGCAACAGCGATTAAGCCGGTTAGATTGTTGAGATTTCTTGCGAGACATTAATAAATATAAAAAATACCTTATATTCTCTAAAAAAGGTAATTAAAAACCTATTAAATATATTTTTTTGTGATTTATAAAATAAAAAGTTAAGCGGCAAACTTAAAAAAAAAATTTCTTGATGAGAATCCGCGCTGTGATATGGTGAGCTCTTTATTATTAAGTTGCATTTATAAGTAATCAATTTTCTGTCAGAGTATTTATGTATGCTAAGTCAATTTAACTTGAATACTCCTATTACTTACTTTTAGTCATAAAAGTAAGGTATTTATAATTGCATATTTGATTAAATTTATCCAGCACTAACCATTTAGGCATAATTTCTAAGCCTAAAAAAATAAAAATAATCATTACAATATTGTTTTTTGTTTATACTTTTAATTTTATTTGAGTTTTAACATATTATGTTTTTTAAATTTCTTCACTGTTTCGATAAAGAACCACAATGTATAATATTGTGTATATTTCCATGACTAATTAGTAAACAAGCTCATGAGTATTTAATTTGCACTATATACTTTATTTAAATCAGTTACTAACTTCTTTACCATCATAACTTTAGTTTTATTATTACTATTTTTCTAACGACCAGCAATAAGTATTATATCACAGTTTTATTCGATTAAGATTTCAGTTTTCTCACCTATAGTATAGAGTCAATATACTTTTTTTGATTTTATTTCCAATTATTATAATAAGTCGATAAAATAGTCTAGTTAACACCAACTTTATCGTTTTTAGTAGAACTGGCGCAAACAAATAAAATTTTTTATATGATACCTGCCACTTCATTATAATTTTTACTATTTTCCAAATGATATATGGACAGATTGGATTATTTTAAAGCAAAATAGACCTACTGATTTTTGAATTTTTATTATAAGTAGATTAATTTAATAAAATACTAAAGCAATTGCCAATCGTCACCTAGGTATGGATGCAAATGCAATATTTGTGATAGTATATGCAATCTTCAAATCTATTTGTTAAAGTTGCATACTATACTTAATAGCTACTTGTTTTTACTAGCTAACTGATATTTTTAGCATGGAATAATCATATTCTGGAAATAAATCATAGATAAATAGAAAAAAATGCATATGATAGCAAGATGTATTTATTAGCAAAAGTGAAATACTTC